TTTAGGCTACTTTATTTATTTATTTATTTATTTTTTATTAGTGAAAAATTTAAAAAATATTACTTTGCATAACAAAAACAAGCGTGACACAGGGGGTACACATCATGAACAGACGTAAATTACAACAAAAACAATAAACAGTTATAGAGATGTAGAAATGAAAACAATATGATGTGTATGGCATGTGTCTATAGTGTGTGTGTGTGTTTCACGGTTTATAGGTTTAGTTATATGTATCTTTGATATATATATATATATATATATATCTTTTTTGTTAAAAGGGAAACTATAATCAGTCCGGAAAGTTGCAATGTCAAAATCGCAATAATTAAAGCAAATTCAACCAATCGCTGTGAATTCTGGGGGACCTTGCATTTTTGTCCAATCACCTCAACGTTTCCACAAATTTGATCAAAAAAGGTTTCCCGTGAGTTCAACCAATCACACCAGTCCCTGTGCAAAACCTTGATGTATGTCACCAAACTCACTTCCTTGTTTCAGGTTTTGAAGCATGTGTAAAGCTTGTGAAGCAATTCCGCGATGTATTGCACGTTTACAGGGTTAAATTGTTTTGTACTGCCTGCAACATTGTGATGGAACCATAGGTGTAGACAAGGGTGTACAACCCCACCACCCCTCCAAAACAAAGAGATTGGCTTTTCAATGCGATAACAAATGAAATCTGAATTTACATCCAGGAATGACCATACAGACTTTTTCATGACTTTTTATTCCTTACTACACAATAACTTTTATGCCTTACTATGCTATGACTTTTTCATGACTTTTTAAACCTTTATATGATTTTTCATGACTTTTTATGACTTACTTTACTATGACTTTATGACTTTCTGCCTTATTGTACTATGACATTTTCATGACTCTTATGACTTACTATACTATGACTTTTTTATGACTTTTTATGCATTACTATACTGACTTTTTATGCCTTAATATACTATGACTTTTCATGACTTTTTATATCTTACTATACTATGACTTTTTATGCCTTACTATACTATGATTTTTTCATGACTTTTTAAACCTTAATATGACTTTTTCATGGCTTTTTATGCCTCACTATACTATGACTTTTTATGCCTTACTATACTATGATTTTTTGATGACTTTTTAAACCTTAATATGACTTTTTCATGACTTTTTATGCCTTACTATACTATGACTTTTTCGTGACTTTTTATGCCTTACTATACTATGACTTTTTATGCCTTATATGACTTTTTATGCCTTACTATACTGACTTTTTCATGACTTTTTATGCCTCACTATACTATGACTTTTTCATGACTTTTTATGACTTACTTTACTATGACTTTTTCATGACTTTTTATAACTTACTGTACTATGACTTTTTATGCCTTATATGACTTTTTATGCCTTACTATACTATGACTTTTTCATGACTTTTTATATCTTACTATACTGACTTTTTATGCCTTACTATACTATGACTTTTTCATGACTTTTTATACCTCACTATACTATGACTTTTTATGCCTCACTAATGACTTTTTCATTACTTTTTATACCTTACTATACTATGACTTTTTCATGACTTTTTATACCTTACTATACTATGACTTTTCATGACTTTTTATACCTTACTATACTATGACTTTTTATGCCTCACTATACTATGACTTTTTATACCTTACTATACTATGACTTTTTATGCCTTTCTATACTATGACTTTTTAAGCCTCACTATATTATGACTTTTTTATGACTTTTTATATCTTACTATACTATGACTTTTAATGCCTTACTATACTGACTTTTTCATGACTTTTTATGCCTCACTATACTATGACTTTTTCATGACTTTTTATGACTTACCTTACTATGCTATGACTTTTCAAACCTTAATATGACTTTTTATGCCTTACTATACGATGACTTTTTCATGACTTTTTATGCCTCACTATACTATGACTTTTTCATGACTTTTTCTGCCTCACTATACTGACTTTTTCATGACTATTTATATCCTACTATACTATGACTTTTTATGCCTCACTATACTATGACTTTTCATGACTTTTTATGCCTTACTATACTATGACTTTTATGACTTTTTTTGCCTTACTATATTATATGACTTTATGCCTCTCTATTCTAT